TGTGCGAAAAAAACTAGTGGAGCATCTGGAGCGAAGGAACTTTGTAACACAGCATCAACATGGGTTCAGGGATGGCAGGTCCTGCCTCACAGGGTTACTTGAATTCTACGACCAGGCAACAAAAATAAGGCAAGAAAGAGAAGGGTGGGCAGACTGCATATTTTTGGATTGTCAGAAAGCCTTTGATACAGTGCCACACAAGAGGCTAGTGCGAAAGTTGGAGATGCAGGCTGGAGTGAGAGGGAAGGTACTCCGGTGGATAGAGGAGTACCTAAGCAACAGGAGACAACGAGTCTGTGTGAGGGGTGAGGTCTCAGATTGGCGAGACGTCACAAGTGGAGTCCCGCAGGGGTCAGTCCTTGGACCTATACTGTTTCTGGTATATGTAAATGATCTCCCAGAGGGTATAGATTCGTTCCTCTCAATGTTTGCCGACGATGCAAAAATTATGAGGAGGATTGAAACAGAGGATGATAGTAGGAGGCTACAAGATGACCTGGATAGACTGAGTGAATGGTCCAACAAATGGCTGTTGAAGTTCAACCCGAGTAAATGCAAAGTAATGAAACTAGGCAGTGGAAACAGGAGGCCAGGCACAGGATACAGAATAGGAGATGAAGTACTTAATGAAACAGACAGAGAGAAAGATCTAGGAGTTGATATCACACCAAACCTGTCTCCTGAAGCCCACATAAAGAGAATAACGTCTGCGGCATATGCGAGGCTGGCTAACATCAGAACGGCGTTCAGGAACCTGTGTAAGGAATCATTCAGAATCTTGTACACCACATATGTAAGACCAATCCTGGAGTATGCGGCCCCAGCATGGAGCCCGTACCTTGTCAAGCACAAGACGAAGCTGGAAAAAGTCCAAAGGTATGCTACTAGACTAGTCCCAGAACTAAGAGGCATGAGTTATGAGGAAAGGCTGCGGGAAATGCACCTTACGACACTGGAAGACAGAAGAGTAAGGGGGGACATGATCACAACCTACAAAATCCTCAGGGGAATCGACCGGGTAAACAAGGACGAACTTTTCAACACTGGTGGGACGCGAACAAGGGGACACAGGTGGAAGCTGAGTACCCAAATGAGCCACAGAGACGTTAGAAAGAACTTTTTCAGTGTCAGAGTAGTTAGTAAATGGAATGCATTAGGAAGTGATGTGGTGGAGGCTGACTCCATACACAGTTTCAAATGTAGATATGATAGAGCCCAATAGGCTAAGGAATCTGTACACCAGTTGATTGACAGTTGAGAGGCGGGACCAAAGAGCCAGAGCTCAACCCCCGCAAGCACAATTAGGTGAGTACAATTAGGTGAGTACACACACACACACACACACACACAAACACACACACACACACACACACACACACTCACACACACACACACACACACACACACACACACACACACACACACACACACACACACACACACACACACACACACACACACACCTGTTGTTCACCAACAAGGGGGGAGAGGCGTCACAGTTTCATCTTCATGATCAAGATACAGAACAAAGAACCGAGAAAATAAAACACTCCGACCTTCACGGGTGCAACAAAGGGTCTGAAGTGTTGTGCAAACAGGCACACCGTGAGGGGGGGGGAGAAGGGAAGGGAAGGGGAGGGGTGGGGGAACGAGGGAAGCAAAAGGGGGGGGGGGGAGGGGAGTTTAATTACCCAATTCAAAACTCTTGCTCAAGTTCCGACTGAGAGCTCGTTTTTGTCTGTTCGGCCTCAAAGGCGTGGTTTAGGATGGGGGCGTTGGGGGGGTGGGGAGGTGTGTGTGTGTGTGTGTGTGTGTGTGTGTGTGTTTGTGTGCATTATTGTCTATTTGGTTTTAGTAGAGAATTATAGTTTCAATATTACAGCTACCATGAATATTACATCAATTTTTTTAAGGTTTCTAGTAGGCCATCCCCACACACGGCCTCCTGGAGTGTATTCCAACCCTCTAAAACGCCCCCCCCCTGGTATAAAAGCGCCCCCTGGTATAAAAGCGCCCCCTGGTATAAAAGCGCCCCCTGGTATAAAAGCGCCCCCTGGTATAAAAGCGCCCCCTGGTATAAAAGCGCCCCCTGGTATAAAAGCGCCCCTGGTATAAAAGCGCCCCTGGTATAAAAGCGCCCCCCTGCTATAAAAGCGCCCCCTGCTATAAAGCGCGCCCCCCTGGTATAAAAGCGCCCCCTGGTATAAAAGCGCCCCCTGGTATAAAAGCGCCCCCTGGTATAAAAGCGCCCCCTGCTATAAAAGCGCCCCCTGGTATAAAAGCGCCCCCCTGCTATAAAAGCGCCCCCTGCTATAAAAGCGCCCCCTGCTATAAAAGCGCCCCCTGGTATAAAAGCGCCCCCTGGTATAAAAGCGCCCCTGGTATAAAAGCGCCCCCTGGTATAAAAGCGCCCCCTGGTATAAAAGCGCCCCCTGGTATAAAAGCGCCCCCCTGCTATAAAAGCGCCCCCTGGTATAAAAGCGCCCCCTGGTATAAAAGCGCCCCCCTGCTATAAAAGCGCCCCCTGGTATAAAAGCGCCCCCCTGCTATAAAAGCGCCCCCTGGTATAAAAGCGCCCCCTGGTATAAAAGCGCCCCCTGGTATAAAAGCGCCCCCTGGTATAAAAGCGCCCCCCTGCTATAAAAGCGCCCCCTGGTATAAAAGCGCCCCCTGCTATAAAAGCGCCCCCTGGTATAAAAGCGCCCCCTGGTATAAAAGCGCCCCCTGGTATAAAAGCGCCCCCCTGCTATAAAAGCGCCCCCTGGTATAAAAGCGCCCCCCTGCTATAAAAGCGCCCCCTGCTATAAAAGCGCCCCCTGGTATAAAAGCGCCCCCTGGTATAAAAGCGCCCCCTGGTATAAAAGCGCCCCCTGGTATAAAAGCGCCCCCTGGTATAAAAGCGCCCCTGGTATAAAAGCGCCCCCTGGTATAAAAGCGCCCCCCTGCTATAAAAGCGCCCCCTGGTATAAAAGCGCCCCCCTGGTATAAAAGCGCCCCCTGGTATAAAAGCGCCCCCTGCTATAAAAGCGCCCCCTGGTATAAAAGCGCCCCCTGCTATAAAGCGCCCCCTGGTATAAAAGCGCCCCCTGGTATAAAAGCGCCCCCTGCTATAAAAGCGCCCCCTGGTATAAAAGCGCCCCCCTGCTATAAAAGCGCCCCCCTGGTATAAAAGCGCCCCCCTGCTATAAAAGCGCCCCCTGGTATAAAAGCGCCCCCTGCTATAAAAGCGCCCCCTGGTATAAAAGCGCCCCCCTGCTATAAAAGCGCCCCCTGCTATAAAAGCGCCCCCTGGTATAAAAGCGCCCCCCTGCTATAAAAGCGCCCCCCTGCTATAAAAGCGCCCCCCTGGTATAAAAGCGTCCCCTGCTATAAAAGCGCCCCCTGGTATAAAAGCGCCCCCCTGCTATAAAAGCGCCCCCTGCTATAAAAGCGCCCCCCTGCTATAAAAGCGCCCCCTGCTATAAAAGCGCCCCCTGGTATAAAAGCGCCCCCCTGCTATAAAAGCGCCCCCCTGCTATAAAAGCGCCCCCTGGTATAAAAGCGCCCCCCTGGTATAAAAGCGCCCCCTGGTATAAAAGCGCCCCCCTGGTATAAAAGCGCCCCCTGGTATAAAAGCGCCCCCTGGTATAAAAGCGCCCCCCTGGTATAAAAGCGCCCCCTGGTATAAAAGCGCCCCCCTGGTATAAAAGCGCCCCCCTGCTATAAAAGCGCCCCCTGGTATAAAAAGCGCCCCCCTGCTATAAAAGCGCCCCCCTGGTATAAAAGCGCCCCCTGGTATAAAATATTTCCGCGTGTCCTTTCTCCACCTTGTCCTCGGGAATTTACAGCAATGACCTCAAGTTCTGCTTATTTCTTAAAAAAAAAAAAACTCTTTCCAGTTTGTTTTCTTTCATTCGTTCCCAAACTTGTGTGTGGGTGTCATATCCGCGTTTTTTTCTGCTTTTCTAATTTGAACCATGTGCAGAGTTTTAATTTTCTTTGTAGCTCTAATTTTTTCGTCATTCTGCTATCAATTTTCTTTCGTGTTTTGTGCTTTGTAAATTTTATAAATCTTTTTTGAAGTGCGTTATAAATAATTTATTTATCTTTTAATCATCCATATGTTTAAAGGAGTCTGTCAAGGCTGTCACAAATGGTTAGCGTTCTTTAAATTTAAAGGCAAACTTGGATATTTGGTGATAAACTATCGCATATAATTACTCCCGGATCGTGTTCTTTATAAGATTCATAGAATTTCGTCACAGATATAGTTATCATGGGAACTTCTCCCATCCCCCCCAGCTATTTCATTATGTATTTGTCAACATTAAACTCCATCATTCATTTCTTGCTACATTCATTCATTCCCGTGTGAAAGTGAAGGATCTTGCCATCCTTACTTACCTACATAATATTCTTGCGCTAGTTCACGTCCTCTGGTACATCATTGATACATATTAGGAAGATACATGTGGCCAGTGTTGGCTCAGGTGGGACACTGCTAGTCACAGATCTCCTCGGCTTTAACTGATGTTTCTTTTAGCCAAGAAATCTCGATTTCATTTGAGTATCCTCTATGCATCTTATATTTTTAATTTTCAAAATGTCGTTTCTGAGGAACTCTGTTGAAAGAACTCAGTACATATATTTATGTTGTGATTTTTTTTTTTTACTATTTCATATGACAGGAATTAAACAGGTTTTAGAATTTGCAGGATTTTGTAATCTAAATCTAAATTTTTTAGGTTATTAATCCACTTTTCTTTAATAACTCTTTTCAGTATTTTAATAGTTATTGTTAGGGAGAGTGGTCTATATTTTGAACAGTCTGCCATTCCAAGGCTTACATATGTTGGCACAATATTTACTATATGCTAGCTAACATTCACTCACGAAGTGAGATCTTGAAAATGATCCAGAATGAATCACTCCGCACATTCCTTCATTATCCAGGGTGATATCTCGCCTTCCCCAAATGCTTTGGTGTTGTAAATATCTAATGATACTTTCCTTACTTACAGTGTCACAAATTCATGACCCTTGACCTTCCATCATGCCCAGGCACTCCGGTGGCTCACGTCACAGCCACTGACCACGACGACCCTCTGGAGGGCAGCAACGCACGTCTCGTCTACTCGCTGGAGAAGAACGTCATAGACGAAGCATCCGGTAGGCCCATCTTCACGGTAGACAGCCAGCTGGGCCTCATCACGACAGCCATCTGCTGCCTGGATAGGGAGAAGGCCCAGCGCTATGCCATCCAGGTGGTGGCTACCGATGGAGGGGGACTTAAGGGTAGGTATTGGCTCGGGATAGTGGTCCAGAGACAACATCAGCCAGTGAAGGTTATCAAAGTGGCGACGTATTACGTCCAGGAGGGATAAAAAGCGTAGGAAGTGTCTCCACACGCTTGAGTCTTGAGTCGAGTAGTACTCAAGACTTGGCAGTGGATCAGGATAGTACCACTTGTGGTCTTTCGTGTGCTGTGGCTGGTGGCTGGGAAGTGCTAGTGTTGGGCATAGACTGTTTCCCTCATAAACGACAAACATTAACAAAGTCATTAACAAACATTATCTACAATCTTGCCAGCACTTTTGTCCTCATTAAGCTCTCGCAAGACAACCTTGGCAGTCTCAGTGGATGCTGGCAAACAATAAACTTTCAAATGAATATTGTTTCTTGCATTTTTCTCCCATTTTGCACAGCAGGTGTCCTATTTTGCCCCCCTGCACGGTTGCAATAGTACGCTGACTGGTAATGGTCTCTGGTTACGGTGTAACTTCTCACAGTCACCTGGCTACAGTCTCACCAACTTTTATGTGAAAAGTTTCTCTATTTTGTCTAGAGATTTTTCCGAATTCTGAAGTCTCCGCCACGCCTACAGTGCATATGTCGTGCCAGCTGCTGAAGTCGTCTAAGTTGTTAATGGTTTGATCGAGACATTGCACTTTGTCGGGGAGTTTCCTCATACCTGCCCAAACTTTGCTCTTGCACTTCCTTAGGTATTCGCTGGGATTTACAACGCCCTCAACTGGATTATTTATGAATTGTAAACTCGTTCTTAGGCAACTCGTTATAATTATCAAAGTATTCTCCTAAACAATCGGCGAACTAGTTTAGTACTGCGAGTACTATGTCGTCATAAATATTTGACTGGACAACGAAGGATGCTTTCTGGATATATTGTTCCATCTTCTCTGGGCCTGGTCAATTGGGGTAAGGCAGACGATACTGAAAAACCATCAGCAAAGAACCTAGTCATGGAAGACAGTTAACTCTCACTGTATATGCACCTAGAAGCTGGATATATCGCTCATGGGGTGTATAACCAGTGGTGTGTGTGAGTGGGGAGGGGTACAGGCTGCCTGGGTTGGCTGGCTTACCCCTAAAAGAAGGAGTTCTGTGACAGGAATTTTTTGTAACGTGTTCGGTGTGTTTCACTATGTGATACAACACGGGAACAACACCAATCTCGCGAACACTGGTTCAGTATTTTCCAATAAGTGTTAGAAGTGTTGCTAGAGACCTTAGCCAGATGTTCGAGGAACTGATTGTCAGTTCTGAGTTATGTTTGTCAACACTGACAAGTCAGTATACCCGTTGTTACGACAACAGTTCCACGGAGCCAATTAAGGTACATAAATAGCTCCGTGACTTATGGTACACAATGGCTCCAGAGGGCATTTTATTAAGTGTAGTGTTTCCTGATGATCGGTAGTGGGTCCAGACGGTACTGTCTTAGGTCTAGTGGGTCTCAGTGGTAGACGGTGGCTCCTGATGGTACTGTCTTGAGTCACACTGCTCTGGGATTTTTTTTAAATACTGTTAAATATTTTCTAAGGTGATTGAGCTTCGTCTTGGGTCATGTTCTGTACACGATATGTAACGATATTGATATAACGATTGGCTTACTATTTCTTCACTGAGGTCTGTTCCATCTGTGTAATTTCATCGTCTTGATACACTGCATCCCCCCACCATTTCTCAAGCCGTCCCTTCATGTCTTGCTTCTTATATCCTTTCCTTCTGTTCTTTCCTCCCCTTTCGTACCTCGTCTCTCTCTTCCTCTTCCCTATCTTGAATCTACTTAACCTTAACTCCTCTTTATCCTATATATTGGTCACCATATTCTCTCTCCCTTCCCTCTGATCTGCCATTTTATTCTAATTCTCCCATCATTTCTCTCGTCTCTCCCTCTTCCTCCGTTCCATTCCCAACATTACGATCACCTTCCCCCCCCCCTCTCTCTCTGGCCGCCCACAGGCACGGGAACGGTGCTGGTGGAGGTCGGGGACACCAACGACACCCCTCCCAAGTTCTCCAAGGAGGAGTGGCTGCTGCAGGTGCCGGAGACCCGCGCCCCTCGCCTCCCCCTCGCCTTCCTCAGCGTCCTCGACCAAGACATATGCAACAACTTCACCTTCAGGGTCAGTATGTGGCCCTTTCGGGGGTCTGGCTGTTTGTCTCTCTCTCTCTCTCTCTCTCTCTCTCTCTCTCTCTCTCTCTCTCTCTCTCTCTCTCTCTCTCTCCCCAGTCTACTGGCTACAGATTCGTTATCAGACTCTGGAGTTATTTGTCCTTCGTGGGAACAATTTTCTTTGCTCGTGGACTTTTCTTCACCTTTTACCGAGGTTCGTGTTGGATTTATTTCTCCTCTGTCTATGCTGTTGTTTTGGTGTTGTCATTGTTATTTTGTTCAGGTATATTTTGTTTGGTATGGGTAGTGTGCTTGCCACTCTCTGTGGTGTATAACAGGTGCCTGATAACAGCAAAATTACCAGAAAGCTGGAATCCAAGTAATGTAGTCCCGATATGCAAGGGGGAGCAGACAGAAGGCACTGAACTGCAGGCCAGTGTTCCTAACTTGTATTCCAGGCAAGGTGATGGAGAAGATTGTGAGAAAAACCAATAGAACATCGAGAGAGAAGGAACTTTGTAACACATCACCAGCACGGGTTCAGAGATGGTAAATCTTGCCTCACAGGTTTAATAGAACTCTATGACCAGCCGACAAAAATTAGACATGAGAGTAAGAAGGGTGGGCAGACTGTATATTTTGGGATTACCAGAAAGCCTTTGACACAGTACCCTATATGAAACTAGTGAAAAAGTTGGAACGAGGAGGAATGACAGGGAAGGTGCTCCCCGGAATCAGTTAATACCTGGTAATAAATGACAGAGTTACTGTGAGAGGTGAGAGCTCAGTAAGGCAAGATATCACTAGCGGAGTTGCTCAAGGTTCCGTTCTCGGACTTATTATTTCTCAAATATGTAAATGATCTTCCAGAGGGAATAGACTCGTTCCTCTCAATGTTTGTTGATGACACAAATGTTATGAGAAGGATTAAGTCAGCAGAGGACAGCAAGAGGCTACAAGATGAGCTAGATAAATTAAAAGAATGGTCAAACACATGGATAATAGAGTTTAACCCAAATAAATGTAAATTAAGTATACGAAGCAAAAGGTCTGATTCAAGGCCAAAATGGGAGATGAAAAGCTCCAGGATACAGACAGAGAGAAGGACCTGGGGGTTGATTTCACATAGAACCTGTCTCATGAAACCCATATCAAAAGGGCATCATCAGCGGCATTTGCAAGACTGACTACTAGCAGAACTGCCTTTAGAAATTTGTCTAAATGATCATTTACAACCTTGTATACCACACATGTTAGATCAATCCCGGAGTAAGCGGCTTCAGCGTGGAATCCGCAATTAATCAAGCACAATACGAATTTGGAGAAAGTTCAAAGGAATGCCACCAGACTAGTTACAGATCTGCAAGGTATGAGTTACGAGGAAAGGCTACACGAACCGAACCTTATGTCTTTGGAAGACAAGAAGAGTTAGAGATTGATTACTACATTTAAAGTTCTCAGGGGTATTGATAGGGTAGATAAAGACAGGCAATTTAAGCACGGGTGGCTAACACTCGCACAATGCGACTCAGGTGGACACTGAGTACCCAAATAAGCCGCAGAGATATTAGAAGGAATTGTTTACAGTCGTGACGTTTGCAATACGTTCATATCAGACCGGCATGGGAGGCTCCTTTGAAGTTTCTGAACCATTTTGTCTAATGATATAGTCGTGCTCCTCATGCATGTGCTTCGCCAGTCTGTAGGTGAATATATTTTTCCGAATATTTGTGCATGAACCTCGAGTACGGAAATTGGTCTGTAATATCATGTTTGAGTTGTGGGTCTACCCGGCTTAGGAATTAATCTGAGAGTGACACTTGTGAAGGAGGTGGGAATAATCCGGATGCAAGAGCTGCATTTAATAAGCGTGAATATTGATGGATTGTCGTTACTGGAAAAAAATCTGTCAATACCAGTATCTTTTACAACCAGACCACACACCTCCCTCCCTCCCTCCCTCCCTCACCCCATCATCACCCTCCCCCTCTCCCTTTCTCCCTCCCTCCCTCCCTCCCTCCCAATCTCCTCCATCCTTCAACCCCCACCATTACCCCCCCCACCACCTACCCTTACTCCAACACACACGACCACAACAACTTGACCTCAACGTACTCCGGCTGGCGGAGGCATTTTTCACATTCATAGGTCAAAGGTCAACGTCTGGGGCTCTCGTCGTCGATCGTCGTGATTAAAAAAAAATGCCGGCATGTTCCTCATTGTTTTTCCAAGTTACCAAGGGAACGTTCGCTCCTCGTTCCTGTATTTCTGTCTCTCTGTCTGTAAAGATTTGATACAAGCAATTGATTTATCTTGCAGTGTCAACGAGACAGGAGAAACAAGATCAATGTTTAGGGAGATAAATGAAAGTGACGGTCAGACACACCGAAACAGAGAGGAGGTGAGATAAAGGCAGTGATAAGACAAAGTGAGAGACAGGTTGAGACAGAAACAAAGAGAGAGCTGAGACAGAGAAATATATAACAGGAAGGGGAGCAAGAATTACGCTCCCGTCACGCCAGCCACTCTCAAGGAACTTACTGAGACCTCATCACTCTTCTTCGCCTTCACACGCACACACACACACACGCGCGCGTGGGCACACACACACACACACACACACACACATACACACACACACACACACACACACACACACACACACACACACACACACACACACACACACACACACACACACATTCGTCTACTGGAAGGCTACACCTAGTTTCAAATAATAGCATATTTCTTTTTAGTGAGAATATCTGCTTAGTTCTTGTAAGAAGCTTATATGTATATATATCTCATTTAAGGATGAGGGGATACTTACCTCATTAGCAGGTAATACATCTGTGAATATTACTCTATTAAGATTCACCTTGTGTTTAATGAGGAATATATTTCTTAAATATTGAATTAGCTTTAATGTGAACACCACAGCATTAAAGGGATGAGAAATATATATTAAGCGACTCTTCACTTAATTTAATTCTTCAAGAAGAAGAACGATCTTCTGAACGAGAAACTTATTTGTATCCATTTTAGATTAAAACTTTAGCAACCATAACGACTTTACTTTGTTTAATCTATCGGTGTATGTTGCCCAGACCACACACTAGAAAGTGAAGGTGTACATGGGTGTACATGGGTGCTTTGCAGGTGGTGCCCGACAGTGGGCGTGGGTGGCAGATGTTCCGGGTGGAGGTGGGCGGCCCTGAGGGCGTGCTGTGGGCGGAGGAACCTCTGGACTATGAGAACCCAGACCACAGGAGAGGCTTCCAGTTCCAGATCCAAGTTACTGATAGGGTAAGTGTGTAATTTCCTAAATAATTCCCTAAGTGTAGTTACAGGATGAGAGCTACGCTCGTGGTGTCCCGTCTTCCCAATACTCTTTGTCATATAATGTTTTGAAACTCCCAGTGGATGTGGCCTCTCCACCACCTTCTCAATTAGTTTGTTCCATCCGTCTACTACTCTGTTTGCAAAATAAAACTTTCAAATATTTTTTCCGGCACCTTTGTTGCCTTAGCTTGAATCTATGTCCTGTTGTTCGTGAAGTTGCTGGTTTCAGGAGTGTGTATGTGTGTTGTGTGTGTGTGTGTGTGTGTGTGTGTGTGTGTGTGTGTGTGTGTGTGTGTGGGTGGGGGTGGTTGGGTGTGTGTGTGTGGATGTGTGTGTGTTTGGCTGTGTGTGTGTGGGTGTGTGTGTGTGTGTGTGTGTGTGTTTATGTATATAAATATATATGTATTTGTGACCCTCATGTGTGTATTTGTATGTATAAGTAAAAGCAGAAAAAGAGTTAGGCATATTAATTCACTTCAACCTTCCACAAATATTTTAGGCCTGAGTCAGAATGTCCCTGGCTTCTGTCAGCTGCTGCGGGTGTTGCTGAAATAGAAATGGTGGGGGGTGTTATTTTGACTAGAATCATGGACCCTCTCTCAGATCTCCTCTCCTTGCCACCCCTTCCCACTCTCCCCTTCCCACTCTCCCCTTCCCACTCTCCCCTTCCCACTCTCCCCTTCCCACTCTCCCCTTCCCTCTTTAATAACCCTTCCCCGGACAATAAAATACCAAAAAGCAATGGAAGAGGAATAAATATGGAAATCTGATTTTGTATCCCTTGTGTCTGTAGAAATGTCAGTTCCCAGCCGCTGCCTTAGGGAGGTGGACAGTTTAATAAACGATTCTCTCGCTTTTTCCATTTGTGTTCAAACAAGTGGGGGAAAAAATTAACTAGCAGACAAACAATTTTTTAAACGTAAATTACAACATTGTTCTTGCGTTTTTTTTTATATTATGGACGTCATAATGATTAAGCCACCTGTGATCACTGTTACTGCGTCCAGTACTGTGACTACTGTTACTGTTCCTACCTCAGCTTCTGCTACTTTAACTGCCACTATTGCTACTTCCTCGTCTGTAACTTTTACAGCCATTGCGGCTAGTACCATTATGTACTAGAGTGCACCGTCACTCCTCTGTCACAGTGACTAACACATGTAGAGAGAGGTGATAGTGTTAATACTAGAAATAAATAAATAAATAAATAAATAAATATGTGTGTAAATCACGAATAAAATAACAGGTGTTAAAGAACGTGGCAATGTCAGTCCACGAAGGAAGGATTAAGACAGGAATTTCCTTAAGTTCTTTCGTATTTAATAATACATCTTCAGAAGTATGAAGATATATATATATATATATATATATATATATATATATATATATATATATATATATATATATATATATATATATATAAGAAAAACCACACGTGTAGAAGACTAAAGGTGTAAACTACCACTGCTATAATTGCGGCAGTTCGTAAAGAGGTTCACACACACTTGGACACCACAACCTATCATATTGGTAAACACCATTTTTTAAGAAATACCCACAAATCACTTTTCGATTTGTGTTCACCAGACATCACACTGTCGGAGAGTAATTAAAACATAGAGATCGCTTTTGTCCTTTAGATCTCAATCGTGTGGGGTGGTTTAACTTAAGGAGTTCAAGGATTAGTACTCAATACCCCTTGAACACCTCACTACACCTTCAACACCACGTGTTGTTAACACCTCGGGGGGGGGGGGGGGTGGCTTGAGGTACGTACCCCTGCGGGGTACGTACCTCCCTGCGCGTCAATGGGTCACCATTTACGTGCAACGATTTCCTTCTATTGACTTTTCATACTGTTAAAAAGGACCGTAACATCTTGGAATCGGCTCGTATATTCCGAACCTGAGACCTGATTTGAAACTATCCAAAGCCTCATGATCCCCCTTGTTTATACGCTAGTGTCTGAAGGGTTATGAAGGCAACAACACTGAGCAACCAGCAAGTATACTGTAGTCCTAAGCTAATGTTAACTCTCAGTGTATTTACACCAACAATCAGGGTACATCTCTCGGTATGTCTGTCACTTATGGCTTGCATTAATTACAGTTTGTCATCAACAAAGGGAAAATGTTCATTAATTCAGCCGCCAAATCCCTTGTTAAAGAAAGAAAAACACGTTACTCGTATCAGACTCACAACTGATGCAGCCCGTCCTTCAACCCGTCCTCGACTCAAGTCCAGTCCATCCAGCGGTCGACCCCACAGACGCATTCATAAACTTTTACATGCTGTTCATTGAAAACGGGAATTTTCTCAAAAATAAATTAATATTATAATATATTAACATATTGTGAACATATTGGTATTGGTTAGGCTAGGTTGGGTGTTTAGGTTCTGTTGGCGATTATTTGTACTTGTAGTACGTGGGTGAAGCATTTACAGCGTTGTGGTTCGAACAAAATTCGCTAATGAAGCACTTGTTCAGAAAGTGTTCGAACGTTATCAGTTGTGAGTCTTGTGTAAACCATTTTACATTAATAAACAGGTTTGGCGGGTGCATGGAATGGACTTTGGGTCTTTGTTCAACCCGTCCTCGACTCAAGTCCATTACATCCAGCGGTCGACCCCACAGACGCATTCATAAATTTTAATATGCTGTTCATTCAAAACGGGAATTTTCTCAAGTATAAATTAATATTATAATATATTAGCAAATGGTGCATATCTAGGCATAGGTTAGGTTAGGTTCTGTTGGCGATTATTTGTACTTGTAGTACGTGGGTGAAGCATTTACAGCGTTGTGGTTTGAACAAAATTCGCTAATGAAGCACTTGTTCCGAAAGTGTTCGAACGTCAGCAGTTGTGAGTCGTGTGTAAACCGTTTTTCATTCATAAACAGGGGGTTTGGCAGGTGCATGGAATCACTTTTGGATCTTTGTTTGGAGGACGGGCTTCGTCTTCGCATACAAAGTTCCAAGCTCGTTAATCCAGCCTCCAAAACCCCCTGTTTATGAATAAAAAACGGTTTACACACGACTCACAACTGATAACGTTCGAACACTTTCGGAACAAGTACTTCATTAGCGAATTTTGTTCGAACCACAACGCTGTAAATGCTTCACCCACGTACTACAAGTACAAATAATCGCCAACAGAACCTAAACACCCAACCTAGCCTAACCAATACCAATATGTTCACAATATGTTAATATATTATAATATTAATTTATTTTTGAGAAAATTCCCGTTTTCAATGAACAGCATGTAAAAGTTTATGAATGCGTCTGTGGGGTCGACCGCTGGATATAATGGGCTTGAGTCGAGGACAGGTCGCACCGGTTGTCTAAAGACTTATTCCAACCACTTATTCCTTTATTCTATTTTTTCATAATTTTATAATCTTCATCAGTTTGCAGGACTCAACCACCGTAGTTAGGTCATTAACATGATGCAAGAAATATTATTGGTCCCAGCACCGTTTCTTGCGGGACTTGCTAAGGTGCACCACTCCGCTGTCTCCCACTTTTACCCTTCTCCTTGACGGGGCCCGAGACGACGACGTCTGGTATGACATCCTTCGCCACACCTTCCCCTTCATTCGTCATGTCTGTGGCCAGAAGAAACTGTAGGGACCCCATCCCTCTTCGCTATTTCCCGGTATCGGGCGCCTGGGGCGCATCCAAGTCCTCGATCGTCGTCGCCCCTCAGTCAACAACATGTCTCCGACCCCCCTCACTGTGACTCTCTAGCGCCTGACTATTTGGTACAGTATGTTTAGTGTATGCTTGAGTTTGCGTGCGTGCGTGTGTGTGTGTGTGTGTGTGTGTGTGTGTGTGTGTGTGTGTGTGTGTGTGTGTGTGTGTGCAAGGAAATCCAGCGCATTGCAATGCTTGAGACGGACACTGGAGGCGGGAAGAGATACACTGATGACTTTAATTACTAATGCGGCTGCTGGAGGGCGCCAGGGGATCTGCATGATGGATCTTGGTGCTCGGGAATAAATCCCAAGAAGTGACGTTTATTGCAGAGCCTGCTGTGAGGGGGGCGGGGGACATGTCTCGCAAGACGGAGGGTCTTAACAAGCTAACGATCTTACGGTTGTGGTTAGATATTAATCACGTGTGAGGGAAACATGTGCTTGGATATATATATATATATATATATATATATATATATATATATATATATATATATATATATATATATATATATATATATAATATTTTTCTAATTTTCTCTAATTTTTTCTAATTTTTTTTCTCTAATTTTTTTCTTATGAAATGATAAAGCTACCCATTTAATTATGTATGAGGTCAATTTTTTTATTGGAGTTAAAAATAACGTAGATATATGACCGAACCTAACCAACCCTACCTAACCTAACCTAACCTAACCTATCTTTATAGGTTAGGTTAAGTTAGGTAGCAGAAAAAATTAGGTTAGGTTAGGTTAGGTAGTCGAAAAACAGTTAATTCATGAAAACTTGGCTTATTAGGCAAATCGGGCCTTGCATAGTAGGCTGAGATGTGCGTTCTGGCTACTAGGTACGACATTATATATATATATATATATATATATATATATATATATATATATATATATATATATATATATATATATATATTGTATATACCCAACAATATTGTATATTCCCCACATTGGCACCAGAGGTGGTACCCTCACAAACTTTTATATATATATATATATATATATATATATATATATATATATATATATATATATATATATATATATATATGAACAGCAAGACTCAATTAATCGAAGAAGCAGAGAAGAGATATGAAAAGAAAGAAGAGGCAAAGAGAAAATTAAGATTAAAAAAGGCAGGAGAAAAAGGAGTACAGTGAAACTAAGAAATATATGTTAATAAGAAAAACACGAAAAGAAGGAATTAGAACAGTTGCAAGTGGCAAGGAATCATAGAATAAAGGGAGACGAAGAAGGAAGAATGGAACACTGGAGAAACACCGACGGTACAAGAGGTTGAACAATAACACATCGTAAAGTGGGGGGAAGGAGATAGTTACGGTACAGATAAACAAAGATAATCACGTAATTCTGGCACTGCAACTCGCCAGAGACGGGAGCCATATGGTCCTCCTGGAACCGGTCCTTCTTGAACCGGTTCTACTTGAACCGGTCTTCCTGTCAGTATGTCCCACAGGAGCCCCCATTAAGCCTGGGCTTATGTTCGTCGTAGCCAATATGCCGCCCTTCCTCTGATAATGGTTGGTCTTATAACAACTATTTGGTCAAACGTACAAAAAAGGACTGTTGGGCTTAACAAAAAAATCATTTCACCTTCTGAATAGTTGGATTAGCCCAAATGCCTTGTTAAGATGTTAAAGAAGAAATTAAACTGCCTAACCTAACCTGTTCAAGCAATCATAGGCTTAATATACGCTATCTTAGGCGTAATATAGTTCAGGAATGAGCTATACTGGGCCTAGAAATGCATTTGTTTTGGTTCGTGTTCTCTTCAAAGATAGAAGATCAAAGCGTGAACACTGATGGCTGCAACAGGCTATTTTCGTACGTTCGACTAAATTGCTGATATAAGTACTATCCTTGAAGGAGGATGGGTTTGCAATATAGGATGTGAGGAAAATCTTTTGCTTTCTTCCTTCGTGTTACAGTTGATGCAACAACAATTAGTTGAAATTCTCAATTGCGCGATAAACCTTAGCAGGAAACCTTTCACACAGGTAAGGTTAGAAAGGAAAAAAATTTAAAGCCCTAGAAAACTTAAGATTTAAGATAACTTTTCAGCCATTCTTCCAGGATGGTGTTGATTTTTAGAATCATTTCTTGTTGCTTCATGCAGGTCGGCGTTCAATCCCCGACCGTCCAAGTGATTGGGCACCGTTCCTTCCACCCCCCCCCCCCCCGTCCCGTCCTCTTTCCCAATCCTTATCCTGATCTAATCCCAGTGCTATATAGTCGTAATTGCTTGGCTCTTTCCCTTGATAGTTGCCTTCCCTCCCTAGTGTGTGGGCATCAGCTGGAGTGAACAGACACTCACACCTGTGTGTGTATCTGGAGGCTGGAGTGTAGGCCTAATCTCTGATATGATCTGCGGTTTTGGTGTTTTCCTAATTACTGTGCACGCTAATGATTAGGATCCGTCTATTGGAGGCACTCGATCCAGATTACTATCTATCTATCGGGGAGAAAACCGGGCAGCTTTCTCAAAGTTCACTCTCTCTCTCTCTCTCTCCCCTCTCTCTCTCTCTCTCTCTCATCTCCTCTCTCTCTCTCTCTCTCTCTCTCTCTCTATATATATATATATATATAATATATATATATATATATATATTATATATATATATATATATATATATATATATATATCTATATATATATACTTACATCCAGGATCAATCGCAGTTGAAAACAAAAATTATATATAAGAATCTTAAAAAAAAAGATTTGTATATATATATATATATATATATATATATATATTTACTAGACAAATGTCTTTATAGCTATCGTATTAAAGTCCAGGTTATAATAGTTACCCTATATAAAAGTGACTTTAAAAAGCCGCTCATATAACTCTGCTCTGAACTCCCCCAATAAACCTTCCTTGGAATGTCGTCTGGGGCCCAGATCTCAATACAATATTTGTAGAATTCCTTCTTTTGTTCCTTTCCAGTACTTGTTTAAAAAAACTCCTGATAAAAGAGCGAGCCAAAATTAATACTTGCTGAAGGCGGTATTAATATATTCCACCTTCCTTGGCGTCTTCTAAGGCAGAAAAATATGCAATTTCCAAATCCAATTCAGGTGTGTTGGTTTTCCATTACCAGGACGATGAGGCGAGCACATTACCATTACCAGAGTTACAACATGCACTAAGTTGCTGAGTTACACATATGTTATTGTACTCGTGAGGGGGAGGAGGAGGAGGAGGAGGTGCAGGAAGAGGAGGTCCTGTGTCATATTTTGTGACCAAATGTAACTCAAACAAGGCACGGGGTTCCCTACTGAACAAGGCATTACATTGTTTAGGAATTACGTTATTAATATAATTGGGTGTTAACTACAGACAGGTTGTTTATCATAATGGCTGAAAGGCTGCCTGTTTACCCGCTCTCTCTCTCTCTCTCTCTCTCTCTCTCTCTCTCTCTCTCTCTCTCTCTCTCTCTCTCTCTCTCTCTCTCTCTCTCTCTCTCTCTCTCTCTCTCTCTCTCTCTCTCTCTCTCTCTCTCTCTCTCTCTCTCTCTCTCTCTCTCTCTCGTGACTGAGGCGTCATACCCGCCGTGTGGCTTTCTCTTGTGTATAAAATAGCCTGAGGCTATTTTATATAGCCTATATAAAAGCCTCACCCTATGACCTGAGACTTTCTCTACATCTAACACACACTATACATATATTACCTCCCAGCCGTCCTTACTTTCTACCTCCAATAACCTCTTTAACATATGTCCCTTACCTTTATCTCACCTACCCCCCCCCCCCCGCCCTCCTCAAAATGGATCTCTCTCTCTCTCCATCCCTCCCTCTCCCTCTCTCACCCACTCTCCCCTTATCCACACCCAGGGGGAAGCCGGCTGGAGGAACCCCGCCTTCGTGGACAGCGCCTGGGTGATCCTTCGTGTCTTGGACGACAACGACAACACTCCAGTCTTCAGCGCCCACAGTCAGCGCCTCACCCTGGCCGAGGACACGGCCCCGGGCACCCTCCTCACCTCCTTCGCCGCCTCCGACGCCGATGGAGTCAGTCCTTCTCACCTACTGATTAGCTTCATTCTTTTGTGTCCTTGTTAGTGTTGTTAATGTGTAGTGGTAGTAGTAGTTGTAGTGGTAGTAGTAGTGGTAGTAGTAGTAGTGGTAATAGTAGGTGTTCTTGTCTTGATATGAATGAATTAGTGGCTAGAAAACAATTCATTAACTTTTTTTTAAAGAAACTTCTGCAATTTCCTTGTTGATTGATATATGGTTAAAACGTATTGTGTTTGTTGTGGTCGCTCTCCTGATACGACTACTGCTACGACTTATATTACGACTGCTGCTACGGCTGCACCTACGACTGCTGCTACGACTCTTGAAACGACTTCTGCTATGACTCTTGATACGACTGCTGCTACGACTCCTGCTGCTCCAGTTACACAACTATTATCTCCTACTAGTCCTACCAGTAACAGAGGATAAAATGTTACTATCGCGATTACTCACTAAACAGCTACAGATGCAGCTAGTTATGAAACATAACTAGCTGTATCTGTACTAGTTATCTTTCCATAACATAGGAAACGTAACTACTCGATCGTTACGTTTGCCAGTAGTAGTGATTAACTAGACAACTAATACTATTATCTAAACCGCTACTTACCCTTTCCCCCCTTTCTTTCCCACTCTTCATCCCATCTCTCCCTTTACCCTCCTCGTCCCCTTCCCATTTGTCCCCTCCTCGCCCCTCCCTTTATTCTCTCCCTCTTCCCCGTCTCTCAGAAAATAAGTTATTAAGAAGCACTGAAACAGCAGGATAGTTTCCGATTTTCTTTTCCTTTTTCTTTTTTTTTCTTTTTATTTTTATTTTTCTTTTCTTTGATTTCCTCGTTCTTTTCACGTTCTCCTCTCTCCTTATTTTTTCTCAGAAAATATATTGTTGCGATGCTAAAAATTCTGCGGGAATCACGCCAAATATTTCAGAATTGACTACATGGAGATCGTCCGGGGGTTGACTAAAATTACTAATATTTCTTATAGCATTTAACTTAGGCCTACCCCGACCAGCCTACGTCCTTCCAATACCCTAGACCATTTTCCCCTGCATACTTGAGTGAAGCCATTCTCAAGCCTCTAACCATCAACCTTGGCCCGACCGTCCAAGTGGTTGGGCACCATTCCTTCCCCCCGTCCCATCCCAAATCCTTATCCTGACCCCTTCCAAGTGCTATATAGTAGTAATGGCTTTGGTGCTTTCTCCTCATAGTTCCCTTCCCTTCTCTTCAACCTTGGACAGACAGATAAACAATTTTCTCTTATGGGTATAGAAAATATGATAAAATATTAAATTAAACAAATCAGTGAGTATTGCTTATGATTTCCACTTGGACTAGTCGGTAGAGCGATGGCCCGGCCTTTTCCAGGGCCCAGTGTTCGAGTCCTGATGGGCCAAGTGGATGGGTAATTGTTCCATTACCCCCCATTATCCCCCTTATGCCATCTCTTATCCCGTCTTCATATCCCATGTGCTTAATAGTCATTGTGGCCTCATGCTTTCTCCTCATAAGTTGCTTGTGTGGTTCTCCCAAGGGTGGTGAGGGCCGCGTGCTGTTCCTCATATCTCCTCGGAGTGACCCGGAGGGACGGTTCGGTATTAATGGGTTCGGTGCGGTCCAGCTGGCCCGGAGTCTGGACCGAGAGACCGCCAGCAACCACACAGTCTTGGTCCTGGCCGTAGATGACGGAGTGCCTCAACGAACTGCAACTGCTACTCTGACGGTGGGTGTTTGGGGGGGTCTCTAATGGGGGAGGGGGTAGGGTCTCTTGTTGCATGGGGGGATTGCATATATATATATATATATATATATATATATATATATATATATATATATATATATATATATATATATATATATATCTTGTTGCATTGTGGACGGTATGGCTCGCTGCATGGTGTGGAGTTGTGGTATGTGATGTCTTCCTTGTTGCTTGGTTGGGGAGTGGGTGGGGAGGAGGGGTAGGGGGGGTTAGTTGTTGCTCTGGGGGCTATCTATCCTGTTGTATGATAGGGGTCGTTGCGTGGATGGACGGTCTGCTTTGTTGCATGGAGGAGGAATGTTGCATAGAGTATTATCTCCCCTGTTACACACTGTTCGGTTTCACTGTCCTGGGGGGGGAGGGGTGGAGAAGGGAGGGGAGGAGGTGGGAGGGGAGGAGGTGGAAGGGGGGAGTAGCAGCAGAGATGTACTCACCTAATTGTGCTTGCGGGGGTTGAGCTCTGGCTCTTTGGTCCCGCCTCTCAACCGTCAATCAACAGGTGTACAGATTCCTGAGCCTATTGGGCTCTATCATATCTACACTTGAAACTGTGTATAGAGTCAGCCTCCACCACATCACTTCCTAATGCATTCCATTTGTCAACCACTCTGACACTAAAAAAGTTCTTTCTAATATCTCTGTGACTCATTTGGACACTCATTTTCCACCTGTGTCCCTTAGTGCGTGTGCCCCTTGATTAAATAGACTGTCTTTATCTACCCTATCAATTCCCTTGAGAATCTTGAATGTGATAATCATGTCCCCCCCTAACTCTTCTGTCTTCCAGCGAAGTGAGGTTTTAATTCCCGTAGTCTCTCCTC